ACATGACTTGTCCCAATAAAACTTTACTTATAAAAAATTATAAAAACTTTACTCATTAAAAATATCTGATGGGACCAGATCAGATCCATGAGCCATGGTTTGCGTATCCCTTCTTAAATGACTTCATTCAGTCCTATAGCTTTAAATTTCATTCTTACTCGAATTTCTCATAAATGTATATTTGAATCTCTGGTATCTTCTTGAGCTCCAGACCTGAGAAGAAGTAATCAAACTGTCTACTTGTCACTTTCACTTGGATACCAGTAGATGTCTAAAGTTTAACATATCCAAAAAAATACAACTATATACTACCTATAAGAAATTTACTTTAAATATATAGGCACAAACAGGTTAAGTGTAGAGACACAAAATGCTGACACTAATAAAAGATAGTTTGGGCCAGACATGGTGTCTCACACCTGTAATCCCAGCACTCTCAGAGGCTAAGGCAAGAGGATTACTTGAGTCCAGAATTTCAAGACCAGCCTGGACAACATAGCGAGACCCTGTTCCTACAAAAAAAAAAATCAAAAAAATTAGTTGGGCATTGTGGCATACACTTGTAGTCCCAGCTGCTGTGGAGGCTAAAGTGGGAGGATTGTTTGAACCCAGTTGTTTGAGGCTGCAGTAAGTTATGATTATGCCACTACACTCCAGCATGGGTGACAGAGTGAGACCCTGACTCAAAAAATAAAAAAAATAGTTGGCGTGATTATATTAATATCAAAGTATATTTCAAAGCAAAGAATATTAACTATAGTTCTTACTGGCAGTCTTCTAGTCCAAGTCATAATTATTCTCCACCGGTCTATAGTAACTTCATCACTGGCTTCCATGCTTCTGTTTCCATGCTATTGCCTCATCTCATACAATAGCCAGAGTGACCGGTTGTTAAAACATAGATCAGACTATGGGACTCCCCCACACGAAGAACTCCAGTGACTTCCGAGAACACTAGGGCAAAATGTTTTTAACTCTTTAGCCAAACTTGTAACTTCTTATCACCAAGGGACAAATAATGAAGGACTATCTTACAAGGATTCTTTATTATCTGTCTCTTACCTCTTTGTGCAGGTTCAACCCCTACCAGGCCCTTTCTTACGTCTCTATTCTAGCCTTCCAGATGTTTCCTGTACACCTGAGCTCATTTCTGCCCAGAATCTTTGAATATTCACTCAATGACTACCTCTCTCACTTCATTCAGATCTCTGTCAAATGTCATCTCCTCAGAAAAGCCTTCTTTCATGACCCCAGCTAAAATCAATGTTTTCTTCCCTCATCCTCTAATGTTGCTCTATTTTTCTTAATATCCATTATCACTATCTCTTACACCTTATTTTTTTTTTTCTCATCATCGTGTAAGATCCATGAAGGCACATATCCTTGTCAGATATGTGATTTGTGAATATTTTCTCCCATTCTGTGGGTTGCCTTTTTGCTCTTTTAGCTGTTCTTTGATGCCCCCAAATTTTTAATCTTGATGAAGTGCATGTTGCATATTTTTTATTTGCCCTATGATTCTTTTTTCCTTTTTTCTCTGCCTTTTTGTAGATTTTTTGCGTATTTTAATATTCCATTGTCTCAACTTTGGCTTTAATGATACTACTTTTTCTCTTTTTTTAATGTTCTTGCTGTAGGGTTTATAATAGGTATCTTTAACTTCCCACAATCTAGCTTCAAATTTTATTTTACCATTACATATATAATATGAGAATTCTATAATAATAGATTTCTATCTTCCTGTTTTGTCAAACTTTTTCCTATTATCTGTTATGGTGATTTGTGGTCAGTGATCTTTGATGCTACTATTGTGATTGCTTTGGGACACCACGGACCACACCCATATAACATGGTAATCTTAACAGATGAATGTATGTGTTCTAACTGCTCCACTGACCAGCTCTCTCTCCCTATCTTTCTCCTCCTTGGGCCTCCCTTATCTCTGAGATACAACAATATTCAAGTTAGACCAATTAATAACCCTGCAGTGACCTCTAAGTGTTCAAGTGAAAGGAAGAGTCATATATCTCTCTTGAAAACAAAAGCTAGAAATGAGTAATCTTAGTGGGTGAAGCATGCTGAAAGCTGAGATAGGGTGAAAGCTAGGCCACTTGTGCCAGTTAGCCTTGTTATACATACAAAGGAAAGGTTACTGAAGGAAATTCAAAGTTCTTCTCCAGTGAACACATGAATGATAAAAAATCAAAACAGCCTTATTACTGATATGGAGAAAGTTTCTGAGGTGTGGATAGGAAATCAAACCAGCCACAACATTCCCTTAAGCCAAAGCCTAATTCAGAGCAAGACCCAAACTTTCTCCATTTCTATACAGGTTGCAAGAGATGAGAAAGGTGCAGGGGAGATGTCGGAGATAGCAAAGGTTGGGTCATGAGGGCGGAAGAGACCATCTCTATAACATAAGAGTGAAAAGTGAAGCAGAAAGTTGTGCAGAAGATCTAACTAAGATAATAAATGCAGGTAGTTACACAAAACAACAGATACTGTCATCTATTGGAAGAAGATGCCCTCTAGGACTTTCATAGCTAGACAGGAGAAGTTAATGCCTGACTTCAAAGCTTTAAAGGACGAGCTGACTTTCTTGTTAGGAGCTAATGTAGCATGTGACTTTCAGTTTGTTTGGTTTGTTTTTGAGTTAGAGTCTCACTCTGTCGTTTAGCCTAGAGTGCAGTGGCACATTCACGCCACCGCAGCTTCAACCTACTGTGCCCAGCTGCTCCTTCCACCTCAACCTTCCAAGTAGCTGGAACTACAGGCATGTGCTACCAGCTCAGCTAATTGGTTTTTTTGGTTTTTGTTTTTGTAGAGATGAGGTCTCATCAAGTTGCCAGGCTGGTCTCAAACCCCAGAGATCAGGCAATCGTCTTGCCTCTGTCTCCCAATGTGTTGTCTTTAAGTTGAATCCAGTGCTCATTGACCATTCCAAAAATCCTAGAGAATAAGAATTATGCTAGATCTACTCTGCCTATGCTCTATAAATGGAACAGCAAAGGCTAGATGACAGCACATCTGTTTACAGCATAGGTTTATGGTTTACTGACTTTTAAGCCCACTGTAGAGACCTACTGATCAAAAAAAAAGAAAGATTTTTTTCAGAATATTACTTCTCATTAACAATGCATCTGGTCACTCAAGAATTTTGATAGAAGTATGCAAAGAGGCTAATGTTGTTTTCATGCCTACTAACACTACATCTATTCTTTAGCCCGTGCATCAGGAAGTAATCTCCACTTTCAGGTCTTACGATTTAAGGAATAAATTTAGTGAGGCTATAGCTGCCATAAATAGTGATTCCTCTGAGCAAAGTAAATTGAAAGTCTGTGGCCTGGCTCAGTGGCTCAGCCTGTAATCCCGCGATTTGGGAGGCCGAGGTGAGTAAATTGCCTGAGCCCACGGGTTCGAGACCCACCTGGGCAACTTGGCGAGACCTCATCTCTACAATAAATCAAAAAATTAACCAGGTGTGGTAGCACACACCTGTAGTTCCAGCTACTTGGAAGGCTGAACGGAAGGATGGCCGGAGCCCAGCAGGTCGAGGCTGCGGTGGCCGGGAACGTGCCACTGCACTCCAGTCTGGGTGACAGAGAGAGAGTTCAACTCAAAAAAAAAAAAAAAAAGTTTGCTGGGAAGAATTCATTATTCTGCATGACATTAAGAATGTTCATGGGAAAAGGTCAAATATCAACATTAATCAGAGTTTGGAAGAAATTGATTCCAGTCTTCATGGATGATTTTGTGGGATCCAAAACTTCAGTAGAAGTCACCTCAGATGCGGTAGAAATAGTAAGAGAACTGGAATTAGAGGTGGAGTGTGAAAATGTGACTGAATTGCTGCAGTCTCATGGTAAAATTTTCACAAATGAAGATTTGCTTCTTATGGATGAGCAAAGAAAGTGGTTTCTTAAAATAGAATCTTCTGGTGAAGATGCTGTTAACATTGTTGAAACGACAACAAAGAATTTAGAATGTTCCATAAATATAGTCAGTGACAGGGTTTAAGAGTATTGACTTCAGTTTTGAAAGAAGTTCTATTGTGGGTAAAATGTTATTAAACAGCATCACAGACCACAGAGAAATCTTTCATGAAAGGACGAGTCAATCAATGTGTAAGATTTCACTGTTGTCTTATTTTAATAAATTGCCACAACTACCCAACCTTCAGCAGTCACCACCCTGATCAGTTAGCAGCCATCAACATCAAGACAAGGTCCTCTGCCAGCAAAAACATTACAACTCACTCAAACTTCAGATTAACACTAGCATTTTTTAGCAATAAAGTATTTTTTAATCAAGGTATGTAGGCCAAGTGTGGTAGCACACCTGTATTCCCAGCACTTTGGGATGCCAAGGTAGGAGGACTGCTTGAGCCCAGGAGTCTGAGGCTGCAGTGATCTATGATCACACCACTGCACTACAACCTGGGTGACAGCAAGAACCTGTCTCTAAAAAAAAATAAAAATAAAATGTATACATTTTTTAGATATAATGTTATTGCACACTTAATAGACTACAATAGTAAACATAACTTTTTTATGTACTGGGAAACCAAAATATTCAGATAACTCGCTTTATTGCAATATTCACTTTATAGTGATAGTCTGGAGCTAAACCTGCAATATCTCTGAGATATTCCTGTACTCACCAACAAGGTAACAAGAAGTTACTTTTCCCCTTCCATTTTTGTTTCACTGCTTTCCTCATTCTTTGTCATTCCTTTCTCCTACTCTCTGCAAAGAATATGGCATTTATACTAGGAAAGAAATTGTTTTTTATTTACAAAAAATGAACTTAGTTTGACCATTGTTAGTAGTTTTAGTTCTTAAAAGATTTTTACAATTTTAAAACTTGAGATTCATAAATAGTAAGGGAAAACAGATAAGGTCTTTTTTGGCAGTTCCAGCCACAAAAAAAGAAGACATCTGAGAACCTGTTCCAGTTGAGCTGCATTTAATACATGATTTTTCATTTCTCTTTCCCCACAGGGAGAAGAAAATCGAGGGACTGAATTTTATCAGATGCTTAGCTGCTTTTCATTCTGAGATATTGAACATGAAGTTGCATGAAACAAATTTTGCAGTAGTTCAAGAGGTAAACTTATTTTTCAGATATAAGTTAAGGATTATTTGAATAATAAAGGTTAAATTTGCTACATTTATCTGACTTTTAAATTATTAAACCAGTCTATATTGTATGATAAGAGTAAGCTTATATTTAAAATAGCCCATGCCTTAATTTCAACATTTAAAAAATTGTATTAGATGCTGGTTTTTAATAGTAAAATTCACCAGGCGTGATGGTTTTTGCCTATAATCCCAGTGCTTTGAGAGGTTGAGGCAGGAGAATTTCTTGAGCCTAGAAGTCTGAGACTACAGTGCGCTGTGATCTCACCACTGCACTGCAGCCTGGACAACAAAGCAAGTCCCTGTCTTTTTTTTAAAAAAAAGTAAAATTCATTTAAAAGCCATTAATGATTTTTTTTGTAGAATATCAGCAAAATGTATATTTTGGAAATTTTTTTAGGTAAAAAATTTACGCTCCGGAGTTTCTCGTGCTGCTGTGGTCTGTTTAAGTGATCTTTTCACTTACCTGAAAAAGAACATGGATCAAGAACTGGACACTACAGTTAAAGTTTTGTTGCACAAGGCTGGCGAATCAAATACATTTATTAGAGAAGATGTTGACAAAGCGTTAAGAGCTATGGTTAATCATGTAACTCCTTCACGTGCAGTTATTTCTCTTATCAATGGAGGACAAAGGTAATGTTCAAAATAATCTGGAAATGTCTTCAAACTAAAGATGAAATAGTGCAACCTGGAGTGTAGGGAAAAAGCAAGCTAATTTCAGTATTACTTCAGTCCAAAACATTTATTAAATAATTCCTATGTGATAAATATCAAATTATGTGTTACACATAAGGAGAAGAAGAATATAGCTTATGCTAATAATGTTTTATTCATAGATCTGGAACAAAAGAAATGTCAGTGATTATGAATTTTATTTTATATTTCACTTCTTGGAGAAAGATAACTAATGCAAATAATTTGTCATTTTATTCTTCCAGGATGATTGTTGAGGAGCTATTTAATCATTTAACTTTAAAGTAGATGTTTGGAAAATAGTTCACACACTCACTTGGTTTTAATTGATCATGTTTCCTTATAGCCATTTACACATTGCCGTAAGAAAGTGTACAGCCCAGCACTTATCAGATGTGGTGGAATTTATGGAACCAGAACGTATTTTGTCTGGAACAAAGGATATGGCTGAACGTATATTACCAGCTGCTGCTAAATTTGCTCAAGATAGCTCACAAGAAACCAGGTGAATAGCTGCTAATATTTTCTAGATCTGTTAGTATAAGGGCTTAAAAGTAGGAAAAGGAAGAAAGGTTAAAGAAGAACGATTATTTTTCTAACTGGAGAAGTGGGGCCCCCAGGGCTTGAAACTGAGGGATAGTCTTATATAAACAATTTATAAATGTTCTTGAGGGAGTGCACAGTGAATTCTCCAAATTTACAGATGACACTATACTACAGTACAGATGACAGTACTGCACTACTTCTGGGTAGTGAGATGCCATGTCACAGGGATGAACTTCATGAAACAACACAAGACTGTATGAGTGGTCAGAAGAGTGGCAGAAGAACTTCATTATGGGCAAATAAAAGGTGTTGCATTTAGGGGAAAATAATGTATTTTCCAAGTAATCAGGTAAAATCAAGGAAATAGGTATACATGAAAAATACAGGAATAATGCACAACAATATATTAACCCATGAAACATGAGATATATGCACTTAGAAAACTTCATGAATTTCTGGTGGAGCTTTATGAGGGTTAATAACTATCAGAGAAAGATGATGAAGTAAGATGTGAATGGTACAGTAGCTGTAGTGGTGACAGAAGTTCTGGCTCTAGTCAGAAGCCTAGGTTAAAATCCTAGTCCCCATTATTGTTTGTCCTTAAGTTACTTTACCTCTGTTAGTCTCTGTTTCCTTGTCTATACAATGAGGAAGGTTGGAGTCGGTGACCAGAACATGCCATTTAAAATCTAAAGTTTTTGCCGGGCTCGGTGGCTCAGCCTGTAATCCTGCGCCTTTGGGAGGCTGAGGTGAGTGGATTGCCTGAGCCCATGGGTTCGAGACCCGCCTGGGCAGC